TTAAAGACCTACCCTTCAAACAACACAGTTACAATCTAAGGCACTGAGGGTTGGGGCTTCAGCATATAAAGTTGGGGGTGACACTGTTCAACCTGTAAAAGGAAGGAATCATATGGAAAATGGAGACAGTGATAAGAAAATTAGTCCAGCTCTTAGAACATTAAATAGGTGGGATTTACATTCAACAGATACAAAACCAAGCTCACTATTACCCACTTCTCTGCCCAAATCTAAAGTTATTCCTGTATTTTCTGTTTTATGAAAGGCCACAATCATCCAAGAAGGCACAAAAACAGAAACCCGGAATAATCTTAGATTTTTTTCTCCAGTTAATTTTCCATGTTCTATGAAGGCCACAAGGAGTTCTGCAATTCTACCTCTAAAATTAAGTACTCCCCTCTTCTTTTCCATGGCTTCTACCTTAATTTGGGCTATGCATAATTACTCACCTGGATTACTTAAATAGTCATAAATAAACACACATACATACATAAAATGCTCTCAGAATAATATTTTTTTTGGAAGAAAATCTGTTCATGTTACTTTCAGTTTAACTTTTTAAATAGTTTATATTACTTTAAACCTTGCATACAAATTTCTTAACTCAAATATACAATGTGATTCTTTCCCTTTAGTCTGATTGGTTGAACTTAGGTCTCAAGCTCATCCTTAGTCAACTATCAGATCCAGGTAATTAAATACACTTATTAGCTAAAATAGTTAAGATCTTTTTCTAAGAATCACCTTTCTGGGCCTCATGGACTATACGGTGAAGGATGGAGACCAGGACAAAATCAAAGTTTCATTAAAGAGGCGGAAAGTGCCAGAGGATGTTAGGTAGGCAACCAGTAATGTCTACTCTAGTCTATTTCTTCATGACATTTAGGTTCTAATGGTGAAGATAGAAAAATAGAGTCAAAGTTAGAGTCCAGTGTGATGAATACAAGTGGAGAGTTCTGCACAGGGTGTACTGTGAACACAAAGATTCCTTCCTAAGTTAGATTAGGGACTCAAAGACAGTTTTCTAAAAGAGGAATGCCTATTTTTTTTTTCCAGTGCTGGGGATTGAACCCAAGGACTTGTGTGTCTACCACTGAGCTACACTCTCAACACTTAAGCTAAATTTTTGAAGGAGCAAGAACCAGCAAATTGAAGAAGGGAAAACGAACATTCCAGCCGAGGGAACAGCTAGTGAAAAGGCCCAGGAGTTGTGCAACAGTGTGAGTCACTGGGGAGCTACACATCATCCAGCTCACCAGAGAGGCAGGAGCTGAGCAGAGGGAGAGGCCCAGACAGACCATGAAATATCTTGTAAGTTTTATTCTAGAAACCTACCTGTAACACCTATTATTACCATGTATATTATGCTATGTGCCAAGCACTGTCCACAATTTCACTTAATACAATACTTTGGTACTGTGGTATGAACCCCAATTGAAAGATGAAGAAACTGACAGGTTTTTGTTAAATAACTTATCCAAGAGCATATAGAACCAGATGTAACTACTTTTCTACATTAGCCTTTTGCCTGGAACTCAAACTCATGGAACTTGTTACCCCAAGCAATGACATTGACTGAAAATTAACAAAGTTGCAGGAATATATATTTATGAGCGTTTGGACTATATCAGGATACTTTTGAGAATATATTATCTAAAGGAGAAGTAAAATCCTATATTTAAAGTATATCCTCTCCTTTTGCCCAAATAATGAAATATTCTTTGGTATAATTGCCAAGGATAGAATAAAAGGGTCAGATTCTGATTCAGGATTTTAATTTTTTCATACCACCTGGATATTACCATCATCAGTCAAATCTCTTAGCTCTGTCCCAACTTCTGCTTGAAATGCCCCCTTCCCCCTTCTTCAATTTGCTGATTCTTGCTTATTCCTCACAAATTCAGCTTAGGCATTAGCTGCCTTAGGAAACTTCTTGAATCCCTGGTTTGATTTAGAAAGGAGCCTTTGTATTCACCGTGTACCTTCCACAATTGTCCTTATTACACTTCACCATGACTTTGGCTTTGGCTCTCTTTCCATCCCTTCACCCTAGACTACAAACACCATGAAGATAAGGACATTGATTGCCAGCTTTTCCTCTTTCCTAAGAAAATTCTAATTTCATTTAGGTGTTTGTCCCTCCATGTATTCCGTAGATTAAAAGGGGACCACCTGTTTATACCACAAGGAATAGACTTGATTAAGTCAGTGTTTCTCAGCTGGGATGAGTTTTCTTCTCCAAGGAACACTGGCAATGCCTGGACACATATATGGTTGTCACAAGTAGGGATTGCTAACAGTGGGCAGAGGCCAAAGATACTGCTAACCATGCTACATTGCATAGGACAGCTTCCTCCCCACCTCAATCCGTGTCCTATCAAATATTTATTAGGCCCCAAATGTCAATATGACTGAAGGGTTAAGATATACTGGTTTGACTCAATCTTTGAGTGACTTTGCTTCCTGACTGGTGATGGTCTAGGGATGAATATATGCCTTCAGTGCAACCAGACTAAAGTGAAGGACTGATATTTCATGATTGGGAGAGAGATGGATGAAAAGCCTGGAAAGTTAGGTCTCTGTCATAATTGAGGCTAAGTGTGACCTCTATCCTGTAATGGAGCTGGGGATACCCTGATTAAAAAGCACTTTTAGGAGAGTGAGTCTACTGTACAATGCTCAGACTAGATGGGGGAAGAATAGATCATAGTAGTTAAGGAGGACTGTGAAACAGCTATTGCTAGAGTTCCTGAGTGAAATGATATGGTGTGAGTTCCTTATTATCCTGCAGGGGTTGGAACAGGCCCCTACACCTAGAAGGGACTCAGGAATATTTCTTGGGTAGTTGGAATATAGCTGTTATCTGGAATATAGCAGATGAATAGGCTCTGATTCTAAGTCAGTGTTGATTATTAAAAACCTATCACCTGAATATATATAGTTCCAATGAAGAAAAACTAACGTTTAAAAAATTCCCAATTTTCCTGTTTTGAAAAACATCTTGGGTAAGCTTTGCATAAACCCTAAAGTCCACATGTCTGTGTCTGTTTCCTTGTATAAATAACTTTTGAACAAATATTCCTGGGATAGATTTTGGTGGTCTTTTCCAAACTTACGCTGAGGTGACAAAGTTCTCCAGGTGGAAGAAGTGGAAGTGCCTTTGACCAACTTGTTAGGATTTAGATAGGAGAAGCTGCCCCTGGACTTCACCTTCTTCCACAGGGGGCCTGCTCTTCACATTTTCCTTCTAACACTTCCCTGCCAGGTGAACAATGGCCCTGAAGGCATCAGGGAAGTTTGTTGAAATTTGTTTTTTCCTTTTTTTAAATTCATGATCCCCAGGTAAAATGTTTTGCAGGAAAATGATAGAGATGTTTTAGATGAATTCAGAGAAACTCCTACTGGGCTCCTCAAACATCACACTTGGTGTAGTCTAAACAAGTACCTGTGGCTACAGTGACTTTTGTAATTTGCTAGGCAATCCATAGTCCTGTAATGGGCTTATAGGGAAGTTAATTTATTCCTTTTGAATTATGAGTGTAAACTATTGCTTTTTAAGGTTTGCTATTTCTGTACTCAATATGCTTGAATCTAAAAAATAAGACATTCTGTAAACATATGTCTAAAAATTGAGTTTTGTAAATTTGTCTTATTTTCCTTGACTGTTAAAATGGAAAACACTGCTTTCAGTGACTAGGGATAAAATGTGGGTAGCAAATTTAGAAGATATTAGGATCCTTTATATATTTTTTCTTGGCAAAGTAATTTAATTAGGAAATAATCTTTCCCTCTAACATCTGACAGTTACCATAAAATAATATCCTTCCCTGTGGCAAAAAAAGCCAGTTGGAGTTCTTTGCAAAAATTTGAGCTATTATTGTACTATGAAAAGATATATTTTAAAGAAGACGAGTTTTTTTTTTTTTTCTTTTAATCAGAAATAGCAAAGCTCTTTATTTTTTTTAAGCAACCCTCAATTTTAAAAAGTACAATTTCAGAGGGGCAGTGGGGAACCTGTTAAATCCTTCCCGGAAGGAGAAGTAGCACCAGGGCAGTAGGTCTTGGGCTGATCACACCAGGCCACAGCTCTAGCTCTATGTGCTTGTGTGCATGAGTGTGCCCCAGTGCTCTCTTGTGATTGTGTGCACGTATGTGCACGCGCACACTGCGCGCGCAGCCACAGAACCTGAGCCCGGTTTTTAGGGGTGCTCCCAGCCTTGGGCTTCCCCATGGGCGGGAGTGGGCGCGCGCACTCAGCCTAGGCGGCAGAGCCCATTCCAGGCCGTGAACAAAGCCCGGGCTTTTTGTGTACGGTTCTACGCCGCCATGGGCACCATTTTCTTCTTCACTCAGGACAGGCACATAAAAGGGAAGGCGGCTGCCGCCCGTCGCTGTCCTCTTTCCCTCAGATGCCCTCTGCTGCAGGTTTATTATTACAGTACGGGCCGCGCCGCCTCTCCCCACGGCGCTGGCAGGCCGCCGGGCTGTGCAGCGCCCTGGCCGCCTTCACGCCTGGCGCGCCCCCAAACCACCTCCTCCGCCTCCTTATTTGTCTGAAAAGCAACCGCACGTCGAGGCGGAGAAGCCCGCCAGGGCGTGGGAGGCAGGGCCGGGGTGTGTGCGCGCCGTGCTCCCGGGGCGGGGCCGGGGCGGCGCGTAGATCTGCGGGTCCGCTTTGTCCCCCAGGGGCCCTGCGCGGCTCAGTGGGGGCTGCGCGGGGAGCCGGTCGCCCGGGGCACGGGCGTGGGGTGCTCGCAGGGCGCGCGCGCGCGCACGCACGCGCGTGCTGGCCGCTAGCAGACGGGGCCCTGAGCCGCCGATTCCTGCCGAGTAAGCAGTCTGGCTCCTCGGCGGCAGCACAGTGGCAGCAGTGCTGGGGCGCTGGCGCCGCGCCAACCCCATCAGAATTAGCTCATTGTTCACTAGTACACTAGCGGGAGGGAGGGCGGGAGGGAGGGGAGAGAGAGAGAGAGAGAGAGGGAGGGAGAAAGAGAGGGAGAGAGAGATTGATTTAGAAAAAGAGACACAAGGCACACTCTTGGAGAGAGCGCGCAAGGCAGGGAAACCTTCCCCTCCTTCTTTTCCAAGGCTGCACTTCTTGGAAGTGAAGCCGGTTTGGGTTGTTTCCCTTCCCCCTCCTCCTTCCTCTTCCTCCACCCCTTTCCCCTCCCCCTCCCCCCAGCTGTCTTTCTAGCATGATGCCCTTTTTCATCCACATTTGTGTTTCAGGTGTAGAGAGGAGAGAGAGTGAACAGGGAGCGGGGCTTTTGTCTGTAAGTATATGCCATTCTCATCCCCGGCTGGGAGCGCTGCTTTCTCTTTTGTGTCGATTCCTTGCCGTTGCTCTTAGCTGGACCCTTCAACCCTGCAGAGTTCATGCTTCTTCCCTCTAAATTTTAAAGAGCTGAAACAGATACCTTGGAGAAAATCTAGCATTTTGGTCCTGCTGCACTAAAGGCTAGAATTTAACTTGAGCTTTTTTTTTTTTCTTCTTTTTTATGCACAAGTTAAGAGGGAGAAATGAATTCTTTTGAGAAGGGGTGGGGTTTGCTTGCTTGTGTGGGTAATTTTGTTCTTCTTGCTCATAAAGCATTGTTAGCAACTATTTTGTTTCTTTGCATTAAATGCACTTTGTTGCATACAAGCTGCCCCCCCAACCCCAATGAAATGAATTTGTGTCCTTCCATCTGTGCACTTGATTACTCTTTCCTCTTTCAACGCTGCTGCCGCTGAGGGTCTTTTCATGCTTTCAATCTTGCAACACTTTTTTTCTGCATTTTCTTATAAAGCATTTGAACTTGGGGTGGGGGGAGCTTAAAAATACATGACTTTTTTTTTCTCTTGGTGATGATGATAACCTGATTTGCATTTATATGTATCTGTAATAACATTATAGGAAAACTCCAAGAGCTTATGACACCCTTTTTGAGAACTTTAAGTTTTTCCATTCATCTTAATTTTTGCCATAACTTATATTAACAAAAGAGCTGTGCTCTGATAGCATAAAGGTATAAAGGTTGAGGGAAGATCACTATAGCATATACGTTAATGTTTGTTTGGTTTGGGGAGAAGGGCATAATGGTGTATATTCCTGACTTTTTTCCCTGTGTAGGTTTTTTTTTTTTTGTTAACACGGAAGGTTATGTAATGCAGTGCCATTTCCAAAAATATCCACTCTGAGGCATTACACTACACAGTGGAAGGCTGATTCCTATTCTGCCGTCTTGATTGCAAATATACTGCCAGTAGTATGTCTGGGAACAAAGAGCAGCCAGAAAACAATCTATTTTTATCACTTGATTCTACTTTTAAGTTGCTAAACCTTTTGAACTCTTCTAATTTAAAGATGAACCAAACACTAGGAGTAGCCCAAGGCTCTGCAGAGCCAGGTACCAGGGAGTCCTTTGTCCCTTATTTAAACCTATAGACCACTTGGAAAGCTCTTTCAGAAACCCCAGTAGTTACTGTAATTTGCATGTAACTTATCTTAACCTTAGAAAGTGGTTAGTTGTCTGTAACCTCTAAAGAGGCTTTTTTTTTTTTTCATTTGCTGACCTGTGGTGAGGCCATGTGTCTACTGTGTTTAAACATATTTTGCAGGTTGGTCTCCCTGGACTGAAGAGAGGGAGCATAGAAACCCAAGACTATTAAGATTCTCAAAATGGTAAGAATTGGTCATCAGAGGAAATTCTCAGTAGCTTCTTATCAGTCTTTATTACATATAAATATCAGCCACCCACCTTCATCTGCCACAACCCTTCATTGTTCCTACCCCAGCTGACCTTTAAAAGGTTCTATCTCCAGCATGTGGGAGTTTTGCAGTGCAGCAATTTGTATGAATTGGATGTAGTGAATTAGATCTTTTGACTTGCAATCATTTTAAATAGAAAACGAAAATTCCTCTTTCAGAGTGAAGATTTATTCAACTGGAACAACAGAAAGTATTCTGTTCTTTAAGAATGACATGTTGTGATGTTCATGAAGGGGGTAACACTGTGTAGCATTCAGACAAAGCAATGGGTCTTATATTACAGATAGCCAGAACTTAGCCAAAAATTATGGGTCTGTGTCCAGCTCCAGTATATGCTATCTTTAAGAGCAATATATGAAAAAAATGAATTTTGTATTAGTATGCTGTATCTGTTGTAATTCAAATATATTTGTGGAGTTTTGTTGTTTTTACTGATTTATTACTGTATTTATAAGAGACATCTACTCAGTTTTAGAAGTCAAGCATGTTACCTCTAAATAAAAGTGCAACTATTTCTGACAAGGATTATGATCCATAGAGAAGGCAGTTTAATGTCTGATAACTGATCAAATAAAGAAATAGAGGGAATGCACATTAAAAGCATCTGAATTACTATATTAAACTTCTTTCAAAGATTTCCTCTTTGGAAATAGGTTGAACTAAAAAAATAATAGAAATGTTATAAAACTTTTCACATAATTACAGTATGTCTTACTGCAGATGTTTGTACTTTTTAAAACACCTCTGCCACTTAGAATGTGTACCCTTCAGAATTAGTTTTAGCTTTTTCCTTTAAAAGAGGGTGGAATTTAGTTAATCAAAATTGAATATGATATACTTCATGTTATCTTTGAGAACAACCCAAGAATAAACTTCTATGGAGAAAAATGAATCAGAGGCAATTAAATGAGTTCAGATTGACTTGTATTAACAAGTAAACTTTTAAAATTTTTTATGTTTGCCTCACCTGTCATTTCAACAAGTGGGTATTAAAGCACTAAATAAGTAGATCTTACTTGGGCCAGTATGGTAATGGCCAAATTAGGAAACCTGGGGTAGGAAGTTAACATAAAATTAAGGTAATCAGTGGATTTCTGCAAATGGTTTCTAACTTCATATCAAATTCCTTACTGGCCATTGGCATAGAGTAATAGGATGATATTAAAATAGACTGCTGTGAAGTTTTTGTTTACTTAATTCTTCCACTGTCACTGAACAGACACATCATCTTGCCTCTGGTTTTGTATCCAGAACCGTACCATGGTGTGTCACTGCAGCTAGACCACGAAGATTTTATGTTGCAATATGTCAGGTGATGATTTTGGTTAAACATAAATATGACCACTGACCCTGCCATACCACCCCTATAGGTCAAGAGCAAAGAGCAAATATCATGTTTCTTCAGTAGTGAGTGGAATGAGCTTTGAGAAGGCAAGCATGCCTGCCAAAGCCAAGAATGAAAGTTGGAACCATTCAAATGCAGAAAAGCAAATGCAAATTAATATTACATGTTAATTTCTTACAGTTGTCATTTATGTATGGTGGCAGAAAGGGAAATCACAATTTGTTGCTCTTGGAAAGACTTTTACTCATGAAAAAAATTCTTACAACTTTTTGGTGATCCTTTCATCAAGATGTCAGTCCCTTTTGGCACAAGCCCATTGCTTGAAATGAAACCACTGACAGTTATTGTCTGTGGGTGATTCCAAGTAACTTTCTAGCAATTCTCTTATTCTGAAAGTCTGAGCTCTTAAAAAGTCTTTGCACATATTAATGTAATAAAAAAGTTTCAATTTTTAAAAAATTTATATTACTGAACTTATATTTTTAAGAACTTTCTCCTTTTTGGCAAAATGAAGTTAATTTTCTTTTCCTTGATTAAAACTGGAATTACTTTGCAGATCTCTATATCTGGCTTACTTAGAGACTTAGCCCACAAACAATAGAAACTTTGTGATAGAAGCTGATTTAGCTCCTGACCACCTCTAATATATATATATATATATATATATATATATATATATATATACACACACACACACACACACACACACACATATATACATACACGTGTGTGTGTGTGTATGTGTGATATATATATGTACATGGCTTTTTTGTTAAACTTGTATTTCCATTAATATAATATAAAACACTAAAGAGTTCCTAATTTTAGTGTATTTAGGCTGTTTGGTAAAGGGTTTATTTCAAATACAAATTAATAATCAACTCAATCCAGTGTAAGAGACTTACCAGTAAGTTCCAGAATTCTAAACAGTGATTCAGTATCCAATTTTTTCGTACCCTAAAATGGTAATGTTTCACAACAGAAATTTGGTAACATGTAGGAATCCTACAGTGCCTTTTGCATTATCAAAAAAGACACCACTTTGTTTACCTCTGAGGCACCATTTGTATTGTCTTTAGTGTTTGGGCCCCTTTAAGTACAACTGCAGGGGGCGCCATTCACATAGATTATAGTGTGTATGGTAATAATACCTGGGGTTGGGCAACCTTGAGTAAAGTGTTAATTTTGAGTATAAAGTTTTCTGTATCTAAGTTGATCCTTATATTCTTTTCAGTAACTACTTCAACATTTTCAGTTTCTAGGGAACATACTCCTGCCCTTAATTTCTGCAACTGGTAGAGTCTGCAGAGTTTTGCAATTATTGTGAATCAGCAGAGATCTTCAGCATTTTTTTCATTTATATTTTACTTTTTTGCTATATTTTAATTTGTAGGACTATATTTTTACTTAGGTATTTTATATTAAAGGAACTAGACACAGGTATGTCAATAAGAAGAATACACTTCAGAATGAGCTGATGATTCTATTGAGTAATTTGAAAAGCTAAATTATTTAATCCAAGGTTAAGTCTTGACTTTCAACATGATTACCCTCTACACAGTAAACTTGCCTCCCAGTATGTGTGTACTCTGGACTCACCATGGAATAAGTAAGGGCTCATTATGTTTCAACAGAGACCTAGGAATTAGAAAAATTTAGGTTCTTTTTATGGCTGATGCTGAGCTTTTTAAAAAGATGAGTTGACTCCATTGTACCATTCATAGAGCTCTGCTTTCTTCTTAGTCTGTGATTTGGCATTCATGGGCTTACAAGAAAACTCTTTTCAATAATCTCTCCATTAACATAAGGTTTCCCTGTTTAAGAAATACACATGAAGATTGGAGAGGGCTGAGGTCCTGTTTGTAGCCTGTGCCATTGGGTTTGGAATGCAAATTGACAAGTTGCTGTGGTGACTCTTGATTGTAGAGATGCTGAAGATAGTTTCATGAAGGTAATTTTATATTGTGCTTTATTCTGTTTCACCAAACCTTCCAATGCACTGTGAGGGGGAGAATTAGGAATTGTTTGGGGAATTAGGACAGTAGAGAAAATCTATCTGGGTTTAATTTCAGTCCAGCTTCCTCCTGAGCTATGTAGGTAATTCAGATAGAAGAAGATATTTGAGCAGAAATCTTAGAATAAATAGCTATTCAAACTCCATTTTAACCTGATACAGTTCTAAAACCTTAGCTATAAATCATATGAAATATGCTGACAAATCCACTATATTTTAAATCCTAAGATTTCTTTTTTTAAAAAAAATATTTTTAGCTGTAGATGGATACAATACCTTTACTTTGTTTATTTAGTTTTTTTATTTGTTTTAATTAGTTACACGTGACAGTACAATGATCTTGACATATCATACATTTGAATCAGATGGGGTATAATTTCTCAATTTTCTGTGCCTCACACATGCTAGGCAAGTGCTCTACCACTGAGCCACAACCCCAGCCCTAAATTCTAAGATTTCAAAAATAGGAAAATATGCTTCTGTAATATAAATATTTTGTTAAAATAAATGAGTAACCCCCTGATATGAATTTTGCATGTTTGAATGTCCCTCTAGCTGGTCATATGAAGACACAAAGTGCATTCAGATGAATCAGAATGACTGGGGAGCTTGGTAGGATATGCATCGCTTCCTTGGTCCAAGTTTTTCCTTGGTGCTGTTCCTGGGTGGAAAGTCTTTTAAGGCCATATCCTCAGAGCTTAAGTGAAATGGAGGATCAAAATAATTATCTGAATAATTATGCTTAAAAAAAGGCCATGATTTTGTCTGATTCATCTTGGTAATTCAGAATGTTGCTGGAGTGATGTAGGAGTGGGAGGGATTTGCTTGAATTATCTACATAATTCCTGTGCTATACAAGAACAGACTAGTGATAGGAAATCTTACCAGCAAATCCAATTCGAATATACCAGGGGAAAATGAATCAAAAATACTTGGACTGTGTCATCTTTGCTGATCAAGATATATTGCAAGATTCCAACTTTAAACTCCTCTGCTTTGAACTGGAAAACAGATTAATCATTAATCTGAACCCATATCTGTAGAAATTATGATTGCTAAAAATATCATTTATCAGATCTAAATTTATCTGAAATAGATATTTCTAGAAGTATTTTTCACCCAGAGAAGCCTCAAGAAAGAATACTTCATCTCAGTGATTGAAAAAATAGCAATGATCCTGAAATATCAATTCCATTATTAGAAGTAATGACATGGTATTAATCTAGCTGGCATTATTTGTTAGATGGGTCATATGCATTTCTTTGACCCAACTGAATTATAGCCTTCCCACCCCTGCCAGAGAATTTGTGAACTTCATACACAGTTTTAGGAAAGTATTAAATACGTGATAGAAACAATAAATATTTGGTGTATGCATGCTAGTATCTATTGTTGGAATTTTTATTAGGTTTTAGTGAGTTAATAATGATTAATTTTTGTAAACTAGAAGTAATTTGCAGCCTTAACCTCTCCTTCTAAAGAGCCAGGAAATGGAAACAAATGTAATTTTAGTTTACACAGCAAATTATTTCCCATTATTTATTAAAAGGCTAA